TATTACTGGACTGTTATGGAATATTGGGCTGCAAATTCCACAATTATCATATTAATTGGATCTCAATAACACACATGCCTAGAGGGGAAACCCAAATTAGTTGGTTATTCAAATGTTTCTTTTAATGGACCGGTTGTTCAAACTAGAAAATATGGACTTGCACCTTACTCCGTATTGAGTTCTTGCAACTGGACAAGATGAACAGATCCTTGAATATATTTTCTTCCAAGTACGCATGCACGGATAGCTGTGTGCATCACTTGATGCAAAGACCGGGGGTAGTCCTCCTTTTCGGAAAAGTACGCTTGCACTGGTAACTTGACATTTTAGATCATCGATGCCAGTAGCTACACCTGGCCATCCGTTCGGCCGGGCCGGGCCTAACAAAGCCCAAAGCAGAAGACCTAGGCCTGGGCCTGGCCCGACAGTCGGGCTTAGATTTCAGGTCCAAGCCCTGCCCTTCGGTGAAAAAGCCCGCCAGGCCTCTTTCCTAAAACGCAAATATGGCAACCCAAGCCTGGCCCGATGTTTTGTTTAGGCTCAAACCTAGGCCCAGGCCCGACCCATGGGCAAGACCGGGTCGGGCTTTTCAGGCCGGGTTTCCCATGGCTAGGTATACCAGTAGCCAGTGGCGTGTTTATAAAATGAATAATTATCTTTTCCATCAGAAAAATGTATTGTAGAAATTCTTGCCTTGTTTCTCTAGTAGCTTTGTTTCCACCGAAAGTTACCTTGTTGATTTGAGTTATAATCATTTCTTCTCAGATTTTGTCAGCATATCACGGTATTGCAAGTACTTACAAAGTTTCACCCCGTCGAAGATGGTCCTAATTTACTCCTCTAGGTATAGGCAGGCTGCCATTCCACCCTCATTGGTATGTACACATGTTCGCAACTGCATGCATATCCTCTTGGTTGAACTTTGCTAAATTTGGCAACTCCTGGCTATTTTGGGAACGACATGGGAGAGGAATCTGTCTGCTCCACTCCACTGTGAAATGCCTCGATCTTCTTCCCACTCTAGGAAGAACGACTGGCTATTTTGGAGAATGGCAACAACCAGAGAGTTAACCAAAATGCCTGCGATGGCTGAACCAAACCAAAACGCACTACTGCACAATTGCCAACTCTAGGAAGCTTTCCATATTTTGTAAAAACAATTATTGCATAATCTATGGGTCTAAAAAACAACAGCGTGGGTCTATTTTATCCTTTCTGCATCCACCATCAACATGTGCCATGTCAGCAAACTCGATATAACACGCCAGATGAAGGGGTTCCAAAGAGGTGGCCAGTGATAATGTTAATTAAAGATGGTAATGTGCTCTGGGTTGAAAACGACTCCCCAAAAGTCTCAAGTGGATCGTAAGGCGAAAGTTCTTATGGTGCATTAAGAAATCAAACATGAATGAACTGTAGCGGCTTTTCAATGGAGCGATAAGGTGCGGAGTCTTATTATCAGGCATTATTGTTAAGGCTGAAAGGTCACAAACTATTGCGGAGTCTATCAGGCATTATTGCTAAGACCGAAAGGGCGCGGACTAGTCTATGGGTATACTCCATGTTCCTGTTCTCGTGGAGAGAGATACTCCCTCCGTTCGGAATTACTTGTCGCGAAAATTGATGTATCTAGAACTAAAACACATCTAAATATATCCATTTCTGCGACAAGTAATTCCGAACAGAGGGAGTATAAGATATGTATCCATCCTATAGAGTAATGTTGAGCAATTTGACTTCCACGTGTGCAGAAGTTTGCGGGATCGGAATAACAACCGAGTCATCCATTTCGCCAGCTTCCTATCAATTATTAGTCTCTTTTTTAGTTTCTTAACGAATATACCCCCGTCCTAATGTTTGTTTGTAATCTTTTAGTCGTTTTTGAAGAAATAGGCTGGGATCATACATGATGCATGTTAAAAAGAGCCGCCTGATGGTTATAGCAGACAATTACTGCTCACTGTCGAGAGCAAATTCCGGCTGGATTGATAAGAAATAGCGTTTGTCCGGATTGGACGCTGGTTGACTGTAGATGACCTCAGTTTATTTACTTATTGCCAATTGTACCTTGGATCTGGGAGGCGGATGGATCCGACCGGGAACATTATTTTTCTTTTGTGGACACGTCTGTGTGCATTGGTGATATATGCACAAAGTGTGCAAGAAAGACCACTGTTGCTCTATGCGGCCAATCTAGATCCTACGTGCTCCCTCTGTCCCAAAATATTTGATGCTCTAGGTTTATCCTAAGTCAAGCATATTTAAGTTTTGCGGCAGCCGATACTCACAATGAACCCGCTTCAATTTTCTGATGGAGAGTGGCAAGACTAGGGACTTCACTAGGAAGGTAGTGATTATTGCAAGGAGGTCAATGAGGATTTGTTGAATGTTGATGCCATGGTATTGAATGGGCGCTACTTGACTCTTGCGGAAGTTGGTAACAAGGCCGGTCACACTGCCAAACTCTATCAAGATGTTCGAAAGTTTGGAGATGTCACGGAAATTGCTGCATCATCCGCATAAAGTGAGGTTCGGTATGTCACACGTCGCCCATGTAACTAGTGCAATCTGCCCTGATAAGTGGCAAGGTCAAGGATGTGCTGAATAGGATCGATGATAAGGCTGAAGAGTAAAGGAGATAGCGGATCTCGCTTTAATAGGTGCCACAAAAATCGCTTCATCATCCACATAAAGCGAGGTTCAGAACTGCACACCTTGGCCATGTAACTAGTGCAATCTACCCTGAGAAGTGGCAAGGTCAAGGATGCACTGAAAAGGGTCGA